CGGAATTCAACAAAGTTGCAAATTCAACAAAGTTGCAAATCGCTTCACACGGAATTCAATAAAGTTGCAAATTCCACAAAGTTGCAAATCGCTCCACACGGAATTCAACAAAGTTGCAAATTCAACAAAGTTGCAAATCACTCCACACGGAATTCAACAAAGTTGTAAATTGCTTCTTTCAGGACTGGAACAATGTTGCAAGTTCAACATTGGAAATGTCGGGTTTTTGCTCCTGGTATCAGGAGAACATGATATGGGAAGAGGTGGCACGAGGAATTCATGGTACGTATGAAATTCTGGCTTGATCTTACTCCTGGTATCAGAAGAACATGATATGCGAAGGGGTGACACGAATCATATTGAAAAAAAAAAATTTAATGGGTAATAATTCGATAATTACCTATCATTACTTCAATGATATGTAAGTGATACATACAGATTAAATAAAAATGTTATATAAATATTGTATATGTTTTTATTACCACACATATTTTATTTTTAATTATATTTAAATTTTTCAAAAAGTAAACCAGAGAAAGTTCAGACGCAGTTCGAAGGATTTTCTCTGGTTTAGATTCTATCAAATAGTTTAAAGCAATTTAAATAACCCGCTACTGTACATATATGTATATATATGCATACACGCGCATGCGTTCTACATTTTAGTTGATGAAACAAATCTAGGCGGCGTTACAAACTTTGTAGCAAGTTTTAATACGAGAGCTTGGTCCCCCTGATGTTAGGTGTGCTATGTGCATACGTGTGCACGGTGTGCGTGCGTATCCTGTTCTTGGCTCGTGTCTTACCGTTTCGAACCTCAAAAATCGTTGGTTTTCGCCGGAATTTCGGACAGTTCTCTGCACGTGAAAATATTCTCGCATAGTAGTAAGTAGATTATCAAAGAGAATGACGATGAATGATCACAGAGTATGCCTGGTACTTCTTCTATCGGTCAGTCTGTTGATTCTATTGGGCCACGTAGCCGGCTCTAAAGTATTACAAATTCGTGGCATACCTAACACGAAAAGTTCGTTGTACTCACCGGAACGCGACTTCCAATGCCTCGACGGAAGCTTGTTGATACCATTTACACGCGTCAACGATGATTATTGCGATTGTGCTGACGGCAGCGATGAGCCAGGTACGCCCGCCTGCGTCAATGGCTCCTTTTACTGCGAAAACACCGGTTACAAACCCCGTTATATACCCTCTACCTGGGTAAACGACGGGGTTTGCGATTGCTGCGACGGTAGCGATGAATATGGTTCAAATAAAGAGTGTCCGAACAATTGCAACGAACTCGGTAAAGAAGCGAGACTAGAACGCCAGAAAGTGGAGGAGTTAGTCAGAGAGGGGAACAAAATAAGAGCTGAGATGATCACCAAAGGCAAACAACTAAAGAACGATCATCAGAGTCGTCTGGTAAAGCTCAGAGCTGATTACGAAGAAGCTGAGCTTATGAAGAAGGAGAAAGAACTGCTGAAGAATCGAGCGGAAGAACAAGAAACTGCTGCTCTGGAAAAATATAAATCAGCTGAACCTGAGCAACCTGCCGCAGAAGAAGGAGAAGAGGAGGAAGAACTGCATGAAACAGAAGCTGAAGACTACTTTAAACTCTTGGATTCTGATAATAGCAATACTGTAACAATCATGGAACTAAAAACTAGAGTAACATTTGACAAAGACAGAGATGGAGTTGTAAGCGAGGAAGAGGCCTTGTATTTCTTGAATAACCAGAAAGAAGTCGATCTTCGAGAATTTATAGACTCTGTTTGGGCAAACATGAAACCCTTCTTAATGTTGGAGCAAGGTTAGCAGAAACGAATTTACAGCTTTAAATTTTCTATTTCAGATTTCGTATTTTAACTAAAATGTTTTTGTAGGTATGTTCAAACCAGGTGAACATAACGAGGAAGAAGAAGGGCAGGAACACGCGGAAGAATTAACGGAGCAGGATAAAGAAGAAGAAGACGACGGTAACGAACCAGAAGAGGTCGCAGATGACGAGCAAGGTAAAGTCCAAGAAAGCGTGGTTCAGTACGATGAAGAAACTCAAGCTGTAGTCGACGAAGCAACGAGTGCTCGAGAGAATTTTCAGACAGCAGAGAGATCGGTGAACGAACTGCAAATGGAAATAAGGAAGCTCGAAGAGAAATTAGATCGCGATTACGGTGTCGAACAGGAATTCGCGTCTCTGGATGGAGAGTGCTTCGAGTACACAGACTTGGAGTATGTGTACACGCTGTGTATATTTGGCAAAACATCGCAAAGATCTAAATCCGGTGGCAACGATATCACGTTGGGTCATTGGTACGATTGGATCGGACCTGAGGGTCAAAAATACTCAAAGATGAAATACGACAGAGGTCTCACCTGTTGGAACGGTCCTGCGCGTACCACTATCGTCAATTTAAGTTGTGGCAAAGAAAATAAACTAGTCTCAGTGACCGAACCTAACCGATGCGAGTACGCTATGGAATTTTCTACACCTGCTCTGTGCAATCTTAGCATAGAGTCTACCGATGCACATGACGAATTGTAAATCTCGTCGTGCGTAAACACGAGATATACAAGGCACTGTGCTACTTCGAAATATAAGGCGTAAAAATTGCAAGGATGAATAACGGCTACGTCGATTCGTCCAGTGTCAGGCATGTTTTTTCAAACAAACATTTTGATGCTTATAACGAACAAGATACGTAAAATAAGTCGAAAATATGAACACTCTCATTTCGAAATAATGCGCGTAGTTATACGTTGCCAGAGTTTCTTCAAATTTATCCGATGTAATCTCGATGATTACGTTTTATCATAGCTGTAGCAATATTTTGAAATTACCAGTACAGGTTACGTGTCCTGTCCGTTATAATATTTAATTTCAAGCATTCGAATACTTTTACGAGTCGCCGCTGCACTTCGTTCGATGATAATGCACGATAAGAAATATTAGCACGGTAAATATTGATTTATTTCTGAGATAAACTTGGGAGAATTTATTAACACTTAATAATGCGCAACGATTAATTTAACGAATTGTCACACTATTGCGAGTAACGCAATTTTTGTTTTTAGCGTTAACGATAAACACATCCGATAAAGCCTCGTTGAATACCTGGTCATCCTTTGAACGTTACGTAACGAGTTTTATCGAACGACGTGTCACGATTAGTTATTTGTCCTTGCATTAAAAATTCCTGGTTGTTTTACTTGAAGTAAATAAGCGAATAAATTTCGCCGCTGATAACACGTTGGCAACAATTAGTGACGAACTCGTGTTTGCTTCGAACGATGGAGAAACTTGTTGAAAGACAATTTAATATCCGTGATATACGTAAATGAAATCGTTGTTACGCCGTCATTGCCAATAATTGTGTCGCCGTTACATACATTCCTGATCTTTTTGTACCAAATAAATTTTTTACTAAGCAATTGGAGGGACACGTTCGGTCTACGTTAATCCACATCGAAAGTAGACACGATGCGAACCGATACGAATCGTGTCTGGTGAAGCATTTCTTTGGAATTCCTAATTGTCACCTGCGTGTGCACGCACGCCTGTGTGTAACGTAGAGATATTATATTAAAAACTGTATCAATCAGTGAGGTATTTTGTAACTGTTTGAAGATATGCTGGGTGTACCGGTGCCTCGACATGCGGGTTCAATAAAGGGAAAGAAAAATTTGTTGTCGAACTGTAATTCACGATGGCAGCTTTATTTACATCAATAACGGGCGATTTGCTCATTTTGTATTATGTGTAATATATATATATATATATATATATATATATATATATATATATATATATATATATATATATTTTTTTTTTTCTTTTAATTATGCGAGTTCTTATAATA